ATTGTTATTATTAAGGAGTTAACAGAGGAGTTACCATTTCATATGTTAGGTGATGAGTACATTTGTCTTTGGACAATGTCACCCCTTCCTTTGCTTTCCCCATTTCCCCCTCTCATTCCTGCCCACAAGTTCACTTTCCACATAATATATACTGGAGAACATGATTGCATTTGTTCACCCTCCTTCCCTCCCTTTCTAAACCCTCCTTTGCCCCCCAAGACCTATCATTTTAAGTTTCTATTCCCAAATGCGGCAAAACCACAACAATACTGGAGATCAGTGGGAGTTCAGGGCAGCCTCTCCAAGTCCTCCATTGTACTGGGAGACTCCATCCATCTGCCCTTCCGCCCATCGTGGATAAAGGAGTCACCTGGTTCTAAGCAGTGAGGACATGTTACCCAGCCCTCACCAGAAGAGCCTGGAGAGCCAAGGGAGCAGGGGATCAAGTTAGTGGCTAGGTCAAAGGGCTGCGGCCATGGGGATGGGGGTGCTCCATGGGGCGCCCAGCCCAGGTGTGGACTAGCTCACTGCTGCTTTCTGGCGCTCTAGCTCTGCCTGCTTCTGTCCACTGAGGGCAGCTGGGCCTGGGCCCCGGGCCCCCCAGCTGAGCCTAACTTTGGGCCAGAGCTGGGTAGGCTAACTACAGGGCACGTGTTCTTTGTAGAAAGCAGGGATGGCCCTGATAAAGCCTGGGTGTTCCTGTGAGGTCTGGCTCCTGGGCTCCACCTGGGTCCATGTGCAGCCAATGGTCCTAAGGCGGCCAGCAAGGTTACTGGTATAGGTTAAGGAGACAGCCAATGGCATTCACTGAGCCCTGACTCTCATTGGGGACCCCAAGGTCCCCCATCCCTAGCACTAATAAGTGTCTTCCAGCATTGCCTAAAGCGACAGGCAGAGCAAACAAAGCCACTCTGGGCTCTGCTGTGGGAGAAGGGGCCGTAGCTTCTCACGCTGCCTAGCCAACATGCATGGCATGTGTGCCAGTGTCGGGCCCATGTGTGCCAGCGTCAGGCTCTGGTGCTGTCACAACGTGCTCAGGGGCTAGTGCGGACTCTGGATTGAAACCTGGATTCCTTCCTCCATCTGTGGACCACCTAAACATCCTGTGAGCAGTGTGTGTGTGTGTGTGTGTGTGTGTGTGTGTGTGTGTGTGTGTGTGTGTGCGCGTGCGTGCGTGCGTGCACACGTGCACAGAGTGATTCACAAACTGAAAGGGCTGTGCAATTCCTAGGATCGTCTCTAGAATGGCGTTTACCATATGTTGTATTTTTAGGCAACTACCAGAAGGATCCAAACAAAATACAAGTGCCAGCCTGCTGTGTGTAGAAATCATTAGAGAGCTACGTTCTGTGGAATGGACAGGGCTGGTGACTCAAGTTTGTGGAAAACAGAGAAGTCAGGGCTGTGATTTAGAGAAATGAGTTCATGTTAGTTACCTGACTCGCTGCCTGCCTCCCACCCGCCTCCAGCCGCCGCACTTAGCATCAAACCACACCAGAAGGCGAAGCTAGACAAACTAGCAACAAACACCAAGGAGACAGAGTAAACCAAGTTTGGGTGTGGCCACAAATTGGCTCAGTACTCAAATGTGATTCTGATGTTCCTCCAGCACACTGAGGAACTTTCTGATGTTCCTCAAACAAACTGAGGCTGCTTCAATTACAGTTCCTTCCTTTCTCAGTTCCTGGGCTGGAATATAACTCAGTGGCAAAGCATTTGCCTGACAAGTGCAACATCCTGGGTTCGATCCCCAGTTCAGAGCGAGTGCGCACGTGAGGGAGAACTAGGAGGGAATGAAGGGAAGACAAAAACACAGTTAAAATTAAGCTCCTGTGTATATGGGAGCTGGCTTTGAGTTTTCAGACAGTTGAGATTTCGATATTAAGAAGGGACAAAGGCTGATGAGATTATACCACATCTGCGATGGAGAAGAAGCATTTCTTTTTTGGGGGGTCTGGTCGTGGGGCCTGAACTCTGGGCCTGGGTGCTGTCCCTCAGCTCTTCAGCTCAAGGCTAGCGCTCTACCGCTTGAGCCACAGCGCCACTTCCAGCTTTTTTCTTTTTGCTTATGTGGTGCTGAGGAATTGAACCCAGGGCCTCAGGCATGCAAGGCAAGGGCTCTACCACTGAGCCACCTTCCCAGCCCCTCTGTGAGAATCTTATTTCTAGTGATCTACCAAAGAGCTAGAAGTGGAGGTGTAAGTGGAGCTCAAAGCATTAGAACGCTAACCTTGAGGGAGGAAAATGGGGAAAATTAAAACATCTTGGCTTATAAGCCAAAAATAAAACCTGTCTGGATCAGAATATCCAAACTAAAGGCTCAAGAAAGAATTTAATTTTGGCTGCCATTCTCCTCTGAAGGGTAAAATTCACAGAACTTATGGAGCCATAGGCTCCATAAGCATCACAGTTGCTTACAGTTTGTAACTATTTTCTTCGATTAAGTAAAGTTGATAAAAGCAAGGACATTTGCACCAGCTGGGTGCCTGTGGCCTCCTGGCTACTTAGCAGGCTGAGACCTGAGGATCCTGAAGACAAATCTGAGACACTTACCTCCAATTATCTAGCCAAAAAAAAAAAAAAAAAAAAAGCCAGAAAGGAAGTTTGGCCCAGATGGCAGAGAGCTAGCCATGAGCTTTGTGCAGAAGCTGAGAGTCCTGATCAAGCTCCAGGTTCTGCAGGAGGAAACACATGTTCCTTTTTCTTTGTGCTAATGTTAAGTGAAGGAATGAGTTGCTCAAGCGAGGTGTTTCATTCCTGAGGGGGTAGCGTCAGCCCGACTGGACAGCTGCATGGCTGGTCCCCATTCTTCACGCCCTGCCTCTCCCCCGCAGTGCCTTGGTCCAGCCTCCCCCCCACCTGTCCCCCAGACCCCATCTTTCCCCTGCCCCCTCCACCACCTGTTCCTTCCGAGCCCCCCGGAAGTCGGGATGCCAGGATGGCACACCTGCACCGGAGGGAGGGCGCGTGCACCCGGAGTGCGAGGAGGGCCGGGGCAGGGGCAGGAGACGTGCGTGTGTGGTGCCGGGATGGTCTCAAGAGGGGGCCAGAGCACTCCGGCCCAGTCGCCAGGTCTGCCGCGGGGGCAGGAGGGGCCGCGGGGCAGGAGGGCGGGGGGGGGGGCAGGAGGGCGGGGGGGGGGGGTGCAGGAGGGGCCGGGAGGCAGGAGGGCGGGGGGGGGGGTGCAGGAGGGGCCGGGAGGCAGGAGGGCGGGGGGGGGGGTGCAGGAGGGGCCGCGGGGCAGGAGGGCGGGGGGGGGGTGCAGGAGGGGCCGGGAGGCAGGAGGGCCGGGGGGCAGGAGGGCCGGGGGGCAGGAGGGGCCGCGGGGCAGGAGGGCGGGGGGGGGGCAGGAGGGGCCGGGAGGCAGGAGGGCGGGGGGGGGGGGCAGGAGGGGCCGGGGGGCAGGAGGGGCCGGGAGGCAGGAGGGCAGGGGGGGTGCAGGAGGGGCCGGGAGGCAGGAGGGCGGGGGGGGGGCAGGAGGGGCCGGGGGGCAGGAGGGGCCGGGAGGCAGGAGGGCAGGGGGGGTGCAGGAGGGGCCGGGAGGCAGGAGGGCGGGGGGGGGGGCAGGAGGGGCCGGGGGGCAGGAGGGGCCGGGAGGCAGGAGGGCAGGGGGGGTGCAGGAGGGGCCGCGGGGCAGGAGGGCGGGGGGGGGGCAGGAGGGCGTGGGGGGGTGCAGGAGGGGCCGGGAGGCAGGAGGGCGGGGGGGGGCAGGAGGGCGGGGGGGATGCAGGAGGAGGCAGGAGGGCGGGGGGGTGCAGGAGGGGCCGGGAGGCAGGAGGGCGGGGGGGGCAGGAGGGGCCGCGGGGCAGGAGGGCGGGGGGGGGGGGGCAGGAGGGGCCGGGAGGCAGGAGGGCGGGGGGGGGGCAGGAGGGCGGGGGGGGATGCAGAAGGAGGCAGGAGGGCGGGGGGGTGCAGGAGGGGCCGGGAGGCAGGAGGGCAGGGGGGGTGCAGGAGGGGCCGGGAGGCAGGAGGGCGGGGGGGTGCAGGAGGGGCCGGGAGGCAGGAGGGCAGGGGGGGTGCAGGAGGGGCCGCGGGGCAGGAGGGCGGGGGGGGGGGGTGCAGGAGGAGGCAGGAGGAGCCGGAGGCAGGAGGGGCAGGGGAAGAAGGGGTTGGGGGAGGACAGGAGGGGAGCGGGCAGGAGGGGCCCGGGCGTGGCCGCCCCAGCCGCCTTTCATCCGCGCCCGCGCCGTTTCCTTCCCTCGGCTTCCGGCCCCAGCCCGCAAGGTCTCCTTACCGTGCTGCCGGGGTTTTACCCTAAATTAAGAGCCCGTCGGCAGCCCTCGAGCTCGTTCCTACGGCCACAGCTGCGCTGCCCAGGTGCGGGCCATCGGCTCCGCTCCCGCAGGTGCGGCTGGGCTCGGCCGCGACTCTCAGGTGCCCGGATCGGACCGGCCCCGCCCACCGGCCCCGCCCACACCAGGGCCCGCCCCCAGATAGACACGCCCCGCCCCCGCAGGCCCACCCGCCCGTCGGCGCCCCCCCACGTGCTTCCGGAGAGTGAGAGAGCTCCCGGCGCTGACTCAGCCGGGTTTGGAGGGCGGGGCCGCGGGCGGGGCCGGCGGGGTCTCACCTCCCTCCCCACTGCCCTTTCCGGTAGTAGGGATAGGATGGTGACTTCTGAACCCACAGCGGGACCGCGTGGAGTGCTCTCGTGGTTGGAGGTGAGTCCTCCGCGCTACGGCCCCCACGTGGCCGAGGGGGCGGAGCGCTGGATATTGGGCGGGCACGTGCACGGGGCGGGGCCTTCGGGGGACCCCCCCCCCCCGCGCAGGTGGGCGGGGCCTTGCCGGCGCGGAACCCGAGGGCGCGGGGCGGGGCCTGGGCTGGCAGGGCGGGGTCGGAGGGGCGGGGCCCGGGCTGGGGGCGGGGTCGGGGGCGGGGCCCGGGCTGGGGGCGGGGTCGGAGGGGCGGGGCCCGAGCTGGCGGGGCGGGGCCGACGGGGCGGGGCCGGGCTGGTAGGGTGGAGGCCGCGGGAGGCCAGTTTCCTGGTCCCCTCCCCGCCCCGGGGCCAGTGGCCACCTGTGCCCCGCCCTGCGGGCCGCGCCCGTGCCCGGGAACCTCGAGCCGCGCTGGGCGCCGAGGTCTGAGTCCGTGCTTGGGGTGCGCCCGGCTCCGCAGCGAGCTCGCCGCCGCGCGGACGGAAGCCCTTGCCCCGGGGACCGCGGAGCCGCCTGTGGAGTGTCCTCCCGGGCGGGAAGCCGGCCGGAGCCGCGACACCATGAGCAGCCCCGGGGGCGCGCAGAAACAGGAAATAGACTGCCTGAGTCCCGAAGCCCAGAGACTGGTGAGAGGCGCCCCTGCCCCCGCCGGCCCCGCGCCCGCGCCCCGCCGGCCTCGCGCCCGCGCCCCTGACCCCGCCGGCCCCGCGCCCCGCCGGCCTCGCGCCCGCGCCCCTGACCCCGCCGGCCTCGCGCCCGCGCCCCCGCCGGCCCCGCGCCCCCGCCGGCCCCGCGCACGCGCCCCCGCCGGCCCCGCGCCCCCGCCGGCCCCGCGCACGCGCCCCCCGCCGGCCCCGCGCCCCCCGCCGGCCCCGCGCCCCCGCCCGCCGGCCCCGCGCCCCCGCCGGCCCCGCGCACGCGCCCCCCGCCGGCCCCGCGCCCCCGCCCGCCGGCCCCGCGCCCCGCCGGCCCCGCGCCCGCCAGCCCCGCGCCCGCCCCCCGCCGGCCCCGCGCCCGCCAGCCCCGCGCCCCGCTGGCCCAGCGCCCGCGCCGCTGCCCCCACCGGCCCCGCCCCCGCCGGCCCCGCGTCCCCGCGCCCCTTCCGAGGCCGGAGAGGACCCCCGTCAGTCTCCACTCCCGACCTCAGTCGTCTCTGCCCCTCTCCTTCCTCTGCCCGGCGCTGTCTTCTCTCTCTTCCGTCTCGGCCCACCCCTCCTCTGCCTCGGCCTCTGGAGACGGTCTCCGGCCGGCCGTGGCCTGGGTCCGGCCGAGGTCTGGGGCCCGAGATCGGGGCCCGCACGTGCTGTAGACCTTCAGGAGCTGCTTCTGTAGTTCACAAAACATGGCACCTAGCAGCTGGCGCCCTGGGCGGCTGGCGTGGCTCCTGACCCCGGGCCTCTTCCGTCGTCAAAGGCCCCGAGCCCAACTCTGCTTTGGCCGGCCGGCCTGGAGCCCTCCAGGACTCCACATTTGGGAGGATTTCACCTTGAACCCGCTCAGGGCTCAGCAGCCGGACCACAGATGCTGGCTGCCAGGGAGCAAGGAGGGAAAGGTTTATCTTCGCCCATTTTCACGCAGCTTATGACGGGGTTGTTGGCGGGGGGCGAGGGGGGGGGGGAACGACAGGGCTGACTGGGTCACCAGCCTGGACTTGAACTCTGGTCTCCTAACTTCCTGAGTACTAGGATTACAGCCTGGCTCCCAGTCCAGGTTCCTTCTGGTGGTTTGGGATGGAGATATATAAAAGTAAACACAGTGTAGAAAAAAATACTTTGTAAACTTGATGCTATGGAGAGCCCCTGGGTTCCACTTACAAGGTTTGGGTGGGACTGTGATTAAAGCGTTCACCAGGTAGAGCTCAGTCAGTGCTGGTGTGTGTGGAGGAGTGAAGATGAGGGACTGCTCCCCCCTGGGGGGAAGTTAGTAGAAACTATGGGAGAAACAGAAATGTGGAGAGAGAGGTCCTGAGGCCGGCAGACCAGTAGGTTCCTTGCAGAGAACCACAAGCAGTATTTCAAAGTTTTTGTTTGTTTGGGGACCTTTTTTGGGGAGGGGGTAAAACTTTAGTATTTTGTTTCTGTGGCCTCCAGCATTCAGATAGACCTTGGGACTGCTTCCTACCCTGTGACTTCATTGGCTTCCAGGGCCCAGGGACTCCGCAGTGAAAAGCCAGGATCCCCATCGGGGAAAGATCTTGGACAGGGAAGGACAGAACTCTGCTGAGATGCTGATGTTCCAGAGGCAGGCCAGGCTCCCCTTAGAAGGCAAAGAATGAGACCCCGAGGAGGAGTCTAAAGCCCTAGAGTGGACTGCTCAAGGCCTGGCAACGGGAGGGGGAAACTCTGAGAAGATGTGAGGAAGGCCAGGCCAGGGCGCTGAGAAGGAGCGTAGAAATAACCCTGGCTGCGGCTCCTCACTTAACACTTGGAGCCTTCTAGGGAGACCTGGATTAGGTGCTGCCAGGAAGGGAGAGAAAAGCCAAATGCCTGAACGGCTGAGGCTTACCCAAAGTTCTAGAACCCAGTGAGCTCAGAAAACTGAAAGAGGGTGTGTGTGTGTGTGTGTGTGTGTGTGTGTGTGTGTGTGTGTGTGTGTGTGTGTGTGTGTGTGTGTGTGTGTGTGTGTGTGTGTGTGTGTGTGTGTGTGTGTGTGTGTGTATGTGTGTGTGTGTGTGTGTGTGTGTGTGTGTGTGTAAGCCAGACTTGGTAGTGAGCCCTGCCCCATGAGAGGCTATTTTTAGTCTTTCTTTATCCCTATTACTTCAAAGATTCATACATTTCCCAGCCCTGAATTTGGGTAAGAGCTGCTACTCTGAGCAGGCCTAGGCCATGTGATGTGTGGTTATACCTCCTCTGTGTGTGTGCACACATGTGTGTTCACATGTGTGTGAGCACATGTCTGCACCAGTTCTCTGGCCTGAAATTAGGGCCTGGGTATGTCTTAGCTGTTTTGCTCAAGGTTGGCACTCTATTTGAGGCCACAGCTCCACCTTCTTGCTTTTGGGTGGTTAATGGAGGTAAGAGCCACAGACTTTCCTGCCTGGACTGGCTTTGAACTTCAGTCCTCAGATTTCAGCCTCTTGAGATAGCTATTATTGAAGGTGTTGAGCCACCAGTACCTGGCTTCCTCTTACCTCTTTAAGACTGAAAATATTGAGTCCTGGAACATAATTGGTCCCAGATTTCCAGGAAGAAACTGTGACCTGTAGGAGGTCTATAAAAAAAGGCACTAGTAGCAATAAGTGTGTTAAAGAGGAAGGTAGAATGCAATGAATGCTCAGGGTGTTGATTGGTGGTTGGGAGGGAAGTCTGGTGGTTCTGTGCCAGGGCACAGAGGAGGAGCCTGCCACCACCCTGGGTGCTGGTTAGGTGTGCAGCTGTGACAAGCAGTGAACATTGCAGACTGGCTTGTGTGTGTCACTAGCTCCTAGGATAGAGGCCTGGAGGTCTCCGGGGAGCAGAAGGGAGGGCCTAGGGCTGCAGAGCTGTGAACAGACACTAGAGGAAAACACATATGGTGATCTCTGCCCCGCTTAGCAAACTTGGGGTTGGATATGGTGGTGCACGTCTGTAATCCCAGCACTGGGGATGCTAAGACAGGAGGATGGAGAGTTCAGTGCCACACTGAGCACTGAGATATTGTCTCAAAAACAAAAGAACAAGCAAACAAAAGCAAAGGCCAGGGTTGTGCTCAGGGCTGGAGTACTTGCCTAGTATCTGCAACATACAAGATGCTTGATTCCATCTCCTATAGCTCTCTCATACACACCCACACCATACCATACACACACCACACCATCCACACACCACACCATACACACATGCGTACCCATACAATACCACACACATACCATATCACACACCATACTATACACATACCACACCGTACCCATACAATACCACACACACACACACCATATCATACAAACACCATCACACACACACACACCATACCACACACACACACACATATCACACACCATACCATACACACACCACACCATATCACACACACACCACACTATGCACACACCACACTATACACACACCACACCATATCACACACACCATACTATGTACATACCATACACACATCATATACAATACCACACCTACACCATACCACACCTACACCTATCACACACACACCATACCACACATACAAAACCACACATACACCATACCAAACACACACACACACACACAGATTGGAGCAGATGTCTGGCTGTTTTCACAAGTCCTGGGTGACTCTTGTCTGCCCAGGAACTGAGGCAGAGGATGATACCACAGTGCTAAACTCCATTTTCTTCACTTCTGGCACCACCCTGTGTGTGACCAGGTTATGTCATCTCTGGTCTCTTTCCACATGCTGAGCGCTTGGTCCTACCCCGGGCTGAGAGCTTCCGCCGTGCTGCGCCCATTCTCAGGCTGAGGACTTTTCTACTGTAATTAAGAATATCAAGCTGGACACCTGTGGCTCACACCTGTAATCCTAACTACTTGGGGCTGAGATCAGAAAATCACAGTTCAAAACCAGTCTGGGTAGGAATGTCTATGAGACTCTTCAATTAACTTCCAAGAAGTGGGAAAGTGGAGCTGTGGCTCAAATGGTAGAGCACCAACCTTGAGCAAAACAAGCTCAAGGACAGCGCCCAGACCATGAGTTCAAGTTCCAGTACCAGCTCAGTACTTGGCACTGGGGCTACGATGGAAATGAAATTTCCCTTTTTCTTTAAGAGTTAGTTTCTGTTTAGCCCGAACCCGCATCACATAGCGGAACACAGAAAGCCCCTGCCGTCCCAACTGCACATCCACGGAGCTATTTACAGTTGCCCAACGCAGCTGATTGCAGTGTTACCTGATGAGAGCGAGGTCCCAGCGTGTCGCGGCAGAGCTGGAGGTGGCAGGTTGTCCAGCGACTTTGCTCCTCAAAAGGCAATGTGCAAGAGGAATTTCTTATCCCTGAAGAATCAGGCCCTGTGACTCAGAACGGGAGTCGTTTATGACCCATTAGTCATATGAGTGTTTCCAAAGTATCTGCTCCCGTTTACATGAACCTTGGGTGCTAGTGGCCAGCATGTGCAGATTGCTGACCGATCTCCTGAAGGTTGCACAGGGACTGGGAGGAGAGGAGTTTTTATGACCTTACTGTCCTTACTGGAGGCCACCCACATGTCAGTGAATTTTTTAAATGAAGAAACTCATTTCCATGAAATGGATTAACTTTACTAGAACTTTCATTATTCAGAATGTAAAGATAAGATTAACTTGCTCTTTTTTCCCCAAATTAAACTTCTTTTCTTTTTCTTTTTTTTTTGGGGAAGTAAAGCCTCCTTATGTAACTTAGACTGGCCTCACAGTCCTCTGCCTCAGCTTCCCAAGTGCTAGGATTACAGGTGTGCACCACCATGCCTGGCTCACTAATTCGAACCTACCCAAGGTTTAATAATTCCGGGTTATGATGTGATTACAGATGTTCATTGTTACAGTTCCCTGACCCCAGCCAAAATCTGGACCAATAAACCAAACAAATAACAAAGACACACCCAGCATCACATCGTTCCTCTCATGGAGAGGGCCGATATTTCAAGGGGATTCTTCTTGGTGTAACTTGATAGCCTTAAAAC